CCCCCACACCCCATCCTGTCCCTCAATCCTCTGTCACACTCCACAGCACAGGATGAAGCTGGTCCCTCATCTGCCTAAAGTCCAGACCCACCAAGGAAGATGACAGTGACCTACAGTCCTTTCCCTGAGTTCTCACTAACCTAACTCACATCACAGGAAGGAAGACCAGTCCATGCACACACCTGGACTAACATTTTACCCAGACCACTGCCTTCTATTTCTGCCCATTCAGTATTTTGAAGAGAATCATTTATCAGTCACTATCCGCTCTGTGGCCAGATAGACTTTGTCCAGGCCATTGTATGTGCTCCAGGCCCATTGCATCCCCTAAGAATCATTGACTCCTACACCCCTATCTCCCCTTCCCTATGGAGATGGTGATGGAGTTTGGATATATTGTGCTCCCAGAACTCGTGGAAATCTGATCCCCAATGTGGCAGTGTTGGAAACGCATTGAGCCATGGGGGCAGATCCCTCATGAGTGGATTAATGCTCTCCCTGAGGGAGGGGGGATTAATGAGTGAGTTCTCGCTCCATTAGTTCCCATGAGAGCTGGTTGTTTAAAAGACCCTGGCACCTTCCCTCTCTCTCTCTTGCTTCCTCTCCTCTTGCCATGTGATCTGCTTGTACCCGTTGGCTGCCTGCCACTTTCCACCATGAGTAGAAGTAGCCTGAGGCCCATGCCAGATGCAGCTGTCCCAGAATCATAAGCCAAATAAACCTCTTTTCCTTATAAATTACCCTATCTGAGTATTTCTATTATAAACTTCTATTATAGCAACACAAAACGGACTAACACAAATGGGTAAAACATCTGTACCTCAGTGGAAAATTGGGACATTACTTGTGATTCCCCCATACATTCTCCCCCCCCCCAGCAAGTTACATAATAAAACTTGTTATGCCTTTTCTTCATATTGAGCTAAATTTGTCAGTGATTTTTATTAATGAAACTTCAGGGGTGAAGAGGAGCTTTTCCCTTGGCCCTACTAGGACAAACTGGCACCTTTCCTAGCTTTCACAACAAATACAATTACACCAAAGTTTTGTATCTTTACTGGACCGGGCTATCCATACGGAGGAAACTGCATCGTGCTCTCTCCTCGTGTGATCCTCACACGGTCTCTTGGCTTCTGGCAGGTAGAGTCCACTC